AATCCTACTTCCGTAGTGATACTGCCTCGGAAACCCAAGGAGGGGTCGCTATGAGTTGGGGCCGACTCGACAGCAAATAACAACAACAACATACCTTCTTTGCCTCCGTTCTTCATCTGTTAAATGGAGACACTGGGTTGAACTGAATGAAACTGTTGCTTTTCTAAGTCAAAAACTGTCCATGGTTTAACCTAATCTAACAGGGCTACTGGTTGTAATTAATTGAAGACTTGTAACCACATACAGGTACTCAACTGGAGTTAGATGTTGTTAACATCTTTGGCCTTCCCAGCCAAAGAGGCTGTCCTACTCTTGCTTTCCACAAATACTCCTTTTGCACATGCTGTCCCCACTCCCTGCTCCATTTCCCTGCTTTACACTAACCTTTCCTTGCGTATAGACTCCTCGAAGGAAGTCTTCCCTCAACCAAGTCTGGTCAGGGTCCATCTCTGGATTCCCAAAGTTCTCTCAGTTACTTGGCTTTACTGGTGCACCTGCGCCCTCACTGGGCAGTGACTGGGTGGGGTCGTCCCAGTACAGAGGTGGAGGAAGTGTGGTGGCTAGGGCCACTCCAACCTTCCTCTAGTCTTTGCCTGTCCCTATCCTCCACCATTGCCCATTTTTCACCTAGCCCGCTCCTATCCTCGCTATGTTCTCCCATCCGGGACCACTCCACTCAGTCTCCGCCCAGAGAAGACTCACTGGTCTTCAAACACTGTGACCCAATTTCTGCATGGCTACCACCCAGTCTTCACCCAGCCCCGCCGTCAAGGTCGTCCCCCTGAAGCCCCGCCCAGCATCCGCCCATTCTCGCGGCCCCGCCCAGCCCGCCGTACCCGTGACGGTGCTGGTGGCCGGCCGCGCGTGCAGCGCCACATCTGGCTGCGGCACGGCCTGAGGATGCAGGCTGGGCACCTGCTGCAGCTTGGGCAGCGACATGACGGCCTGGCTGCTCTCGGCAGGCGCCGGCGGCACCAGCAGCGGTTGCTGAGACGACGCCGACGTGGGCGGCAGATGCGGTGGCCGGATCTTCTCTGCCATCAACTGCTCCTTGATCTTGTTAATCAAGACTAGGTTGTCCAACTGCGGGTAGGAGAGGAGAGGGAATAAGGGGGCTTAGGCCTCGCAGGCCACAGCCAAAGCCCGGGCAAAAGGAAGCAGCTCCAATGGGGGTTGGGCAGGCATAGGGGCGACGCTCTGTCTTACCTGGCTGGGCATGGTGGGAGGAGGGGGCCAGAAGTAGGGGTTGTTAAATCGAGGCTCGGCCATCCTGCGGGAAGAGAGCGACTGTCACAGGGAAGAGAGCCCTCCCCACCGGCCTGGGACGAATGCCTGTCAAATACGCCCACCCAAATCCGGGCCAGTGTCCGGGATTCCTGCTACCATGGGACTCTCGGCCCGCAGCAGAGCAGGCCTCCCACCAGGTCCAGGGAACCACATCTCCAGGAGGAAAAGTCTGGAATTGACTGTATGTCTCCCTCAGTAGGGCCAAGGGGGTGGGCACTGAGTGCTCCCAGCTCCCCATTACCTTGATGTTGGCAGACCTATTCCCATCCCTCAGATGACCCTCGGCTGCACAGCCAACCCCAGGAACCCAGGGGTTCCACCCAAAAGCCTCCCACCCAGAGACAAATGGGGGCGTCCTGGAGGCAACTTTGTAAATGGCCACAGGGCAGAGGCAACTGCCTACCCTTGCTCCCTCCCCTCCTGACCACTGGCCCCGGAGCAGACAGCCTCATCACAACACAGGGGGCAACTTTGGGTTACCAGGTACAGCCTTTCAGAAGGGCGAATTGGCAGGATGACTGACAGAGCCCCAAAGGATCACTGCCCTTTGACTCCAGAAACTACCTCTGAAAAGTTATCCTCAAGAAATCAGCACGGACATGTGCGGTTTTCCCTGTAAGGATGCACATTAGAACATTGTGCTTAAGGAAAGAGTTGAGGAGGCATCAAGCAAGGGTAGTCTGGGCTCCTTGATAAAGGTGTGTGCCAAAGTGTGCGACAATCAGTCCAGTGGCCTTCACTTCTGACAAGTTCTGTGGCAGATGTGTGCAGTTAGAAGGACTTTTCAACCAGGGTAGTGTCAAGGTTGGGCCTTCAGAGATTTCTCAGTCTTGTAGAGGGTGTGAGTCTGCTTAGGACACTGGAGTAAGTTAAGAAGGGACTTACAGGGACCATAACATTAAGTCTTGCTCCTTACAAGATTTATTTATCTTTCTCTTAGAGAAATGGCTCACCTGACTGGCATTGTTGCTTATATGAAATAGTTTATTTTGACCGGAAAGGCCAAAATAAATGCCTTCACCCATTTTTCCTGGTCTCTACTGGAATTCCAGGTAGAGAGTTTCGGGAGAAAACATTCAATAAGGACACAACCTAACCACAGTGCTTTAAGAAAGAACCTTTGTATGAATCATCTCCTGTGATCTTTACTTGAAAAGTCAGCACAGAAGAAATTATTACTATTCCATTTTATGGAAGTTGAGAAGGTGAAGAAGTTGAGGCCTGGAGGAAAGAGAAAGACCTGTCCAAGAGCACAGGGTTCATTCACTGCCACAGAGTCAAGACTAGAAATCAAATTTGCTCAAGCTGGTTCCTCTGGGGAATTGCTTTACAAACCCTAACCCCAGTCCTGGGTTGAGCAAATACTCACATCAAATCGACCAATAAATGTATGCAGAAGAACTTGTCCCTCTTAGGTCTCTGCTGGCCAGGCCAGGGGTCAGCCTACCCTCCAGTAGGGCAGCTGGGCAGCCCCTGCTCTCCAAAAGCCCTCCTGCTCCCACCACACCCAGGCACCAAGGATGCCCTTCCTTCTGCCATCCAAACCTCACCATCCCTTACTGCCCAATGCAAGAACCACCTCCTGCCTGAAGCTCTCCCCAGACCCCTAGGACTTCTTTCTCAGAAAAGTCTCAAAACAATATTAACAATGAGAGGATAGAGATTTTCCAAGTGCCTACCCTTAGTGCCTGGGAGCTCTAGTTGAGGTAGAGCATTTGACTGCTAACCAGGAGGCTGGTAGTTTGTTTTTTTTTTTTTTCACCCTTTGTGCCAGGCACACATCATTCCCATTTTACAACTAAGGAAACAAGTTCAGAGAGATGGAGTGACTTACTCAGGGTCACACAGCAAGTAAACAGAGAGTTTGGATTCCCACTCTAATCTGCTCATCAGTCCCTTAGTTGTCCAGGGGAAGGACACAGCCTCCTGACTCTGAGCTTGGGATCATGCCCTACCTGAGAATGGCCTGGTGCAACCCTTCCAACAGGCACGTTTCACTCAGGAGCCTCAGGATTTGTCCCAACCCTGCCCTTGCCCACAAGGAAAAACGTGGAGGGGACTGAGCTGTAAAGTCAGGGGTGAGAAGGCTCCAGACTGGGAACAACAGGAGCTGGGGAACAGTCTCAGAAGAGCCTGAGAATTAGAGATGCCTGTCTCATTCCCCTCGGTGTCCCCAGGACTCAGGCCCAGACGTTATCAATAACAAGGGTCGCATGATGGAATGAATGAATAAATGGAAGACTAATAATCAGAAGAATTTAAAATCCAATCATCTAACACTGCTGCAGTTTACAAAGCTTTTCCCTGCCCACTGTCATTCTCATCAGGACCCCAGGAACAGGAAAGAATGTTCACCCCCATTTCACAGAGCAAGAAATAGGACAGGTGCACTTTGCTCCAGACCACACAGATGGGGAAATGGAATGTTGGGCATTGGCTCTCAGCCTCAGTTTTCCTCATCTGTAAAGTGGGGGTGAGACAGGCTGTCCTGCCTTGTTCCTGCCCTGGCCAGGACTCTGCTCACTACATCTGGCTACTCCTCAGTTCTTCCTCCTCTACAGTTCAATGCTAAGTCCAGGCTCCCAGGGTACCCATCCTGGTCGGGGAGCTGTGAGGAAGAGAGAAGCTTGCTCCATAGTTGGGACAGAGCATCCTCTCTACCCTTACCTGACCCCCTGGTCAGACAGCAGGGACCACTTCTCATCACAAGGGTGGAAGGGGTCTACTCAGGGTCAGTTTATCTGCTCTGCACACAGCCTTTGCTTGATTTCACTGCATCCTTCTCTGGCTGGTCTTCAGTGATTTAGTGACTTACCCAGTGACCCAGCCCCTGGTGCACACGTACAGCTGTTGGGGAGGCAAGGCAGGGGATGAAGGTTTACTGAGCCTGCACTGAAATGACCATTTACTCAGTGTCAGACCCCCTGCTAGGTGCCCATAAATATTATCTCATGAGCCCCCAACAAGCCTGTGAGGTGAGTACATATCTGTGCAACCTACATGAGAGAGGGTGGGCCCTGCACTCAGCTGGTTAGGGTGGGCCGTGGCAAGAGGTGAGGTGAGAAAGTAACCAAGGCCAGGATAGGTGTTTAGATTTTGCTTTGAGGGAGGCTTTTTAAAACAGGAGAGAGACATGGTCAGATACGTGTTTAGGACTGGTGGACAAGGCCAAAGGGCAGTCCAGGCAGAGGTGGCAGCATAAGCCAAGGCACAGTAGTGTGAAATTACTAGGCAGGTTGGGCATAGTTAGCAGCCACCCACAGGCACCCAGGGGAGAATAGAACAGGGGTGAACTGTTGATACACAGAGGCTAGCCAACAGAGCTTTGAATGCTGTGCTAAGATGTTGGGATGAAATGCTGGAGAGACAGGCATCGGTGGACTGTTGGGCCAGGAGACAATGGAGCAGATTAGGCAAGGGCCACAGGTACCATACAGAAGCCAAGGGACTCTGTGCTATGAACCCTGAGATGACATCCCTGGTCCTTGCAGGGGGGCAAACAAGTTGTCATTTTGTTTTTCTGGCTCTGAAAAGTAGGAAAAATCAGATGGGTGGGTGAACAAATGAAACACCTACTACAGCTGTTCTGGAAATAGCATCATGCTGGCAGCTGGCCATCCACCCACCTATCCATCCGGCCACCCATTCTTCTGGAGATGTCCTCTGGGTCAAATGGGGGCAAGCCCTGCTCTCTGGGAGCCCCAAGATAAGCAGAAGCAGCAGACACTGACCCACATGATCAAAGCCAACAGGCCACCTTTAAGGCCTATCCTCCATGGACACTCTGCCACTGGGGCTCTCTGAGAAGCTCTGTGTGCCATGGACCCTGGATTCTCCTCCTCTCAGATCTCACCTTCCCTCCACCCCCCATGGTTGGGCAAGAGCTTCTTCTCTCCAGGCTGGCCTTGGTCCCTGGGTGGCCCATCCACTGTAGCACTTTAAGTACCAGCCAACTCCCTTATCTCCACCTTCAGCCCAAACCTCTCCCTAGAACTCCAGGCCCAGCTGTCCTGACTAACCCTCTGCCCAGTGGGTTAGTCAGGAGACTAACCCACTGCTGTGGTTTGCTCTGCTGTTACACAAGCAGGCTGCTCAGACTCAGCAGGCTTAGCTGGCCTTGGTCCTTCCCTAAGTCATGTCCCTCCTCTAGTCATCCCCCACTCTGAGCAGAGCATCTCCAGCTGCCAGATGCTCCCACCAGACACACGAGTGACCAGCCCTCCCTCCCCTCCCACCTCAGATGCACCATCAACCACATCCTCAGGATCCCATTTCTCTCAAGCACTCACTCCTCTCCTCTCCAGTCACCTCATGGGCTATGGAAGAGCCCTGCTTTGTTTGGAACCCAATACTCCATGTTCAAACCTTGGCTCCAGTTTACCAGCTGTGTGATCTTGGGCAAGTCACTAGCTCCTGCCCCTGAGTAAGGAACAAGCAGCTCAGAGCCAGGGACCTGAACCAGCCTGGAAAGAGGGGCTCAGGGAGGACTTCCCAGGGGAGGTGATGCCTGCCTTGGATCTTAAAGGATGAGTGGGAGTTAGCCAGCCAAAGACGGAGTAGGGAGCATTCCTGCAGAAGCAGCAGCTTGAGCAAAGGCCCAGAAGAGAAAAGCAACACAGTATGTAAGGGAGCTGTAGGCATTCTGATGTTGACTGGGAGCCATCAGCCAAGGCAGACCTAGAAGGCAGATTCCTGAATTCTAGGCCTAGAGTCTGGACTTGAAGCAGGGGGTGATGGGACAGAATTTGTAGTTTAGAAAGACCCCTCTGACTGCTTAGTGTAGAAGGGGCTGGAGAGGCCAGGCGAGGAGGCAACAGGAAGATACCATTAGCAGGCCCCGGTAGGATGGAGGTAAGAGGCAGGGCTTGCACCAGGGCCAGGAGGAAAGAGATCAAAGAGGCAGAGACACAAAGCCTGCTATCTGGTCACAGCTGAAGGCCAAGGAAGCGCGTGCAGGCTGCCCCCCACCCTATGGTGTGGCCTGGAAGGTCCCTTGGATACCCACGTGGATACACACAGCCACAGGAACATGCAGACAGACAGCACATGATAGACAGACCCGGGGCCCCCCAACATGGACAGATGGGGATGCAGCAACCCCCACGAGCAGGAACCCACAGCCACCAGGACACATGAGACACAGGTGGATGTTATTTCAAGAGGGTGGGCTCACACCTCCCCCAGGGTAGTCCCAAAGCCCCTTCACGGCCCCCAGCCAAGCCTACCGGCTTCCACTGCAGGCAGTGAGGGGGCACTCAGGGAAGTTGGGATGAACACAATGCCTTGATCCCCCAAAGAACAAACCCCTCGTTGACAGATTTTAACCTGGAATCACAGGCTCCTTACCTAGAGTGTCCTTTCCCACTTGGTGAACTTCTACTCATCCTTCAAGACCCAGCTCAAGTGTTCCCTCTTCTACGGAGCTTTCCCTGAACCCCCAGTCAGTCACTTCCTCTGTGTTCCCAACAGCACCTTGTATATGGGAATAATAATAACAATAATAATAATAAAATGGCAGCTACTATTGATTTCAACACTTACTATGTGTCAGGTACTGTACTAAATATGTCATATGCATCATGTCACTGAATCTTCCCCAGTGACCCAGAGAGAGATACATTTAACAGAAGTGGAAATTGCAGCTCATAGAGGTTGACCAACTTGCCCAAAGTCACACAGCTAACAAGTAAGTGATGGAGTCAGGAGGCCACCTATGTCTGACATAGCACTACAGGCCCAATTGTAGTCTGGTGTTTTCCTGGGTGTCTTCTCCACCAGATTTTGTGCTCTTCATAGGTGGGATTAGTGCTCACTCACCTCTATCATTCCCAGAACCTAGCCCAAGGTGGTCCCAGACATTCTTTGCAAAATGAAAAAGTACAATAATATCAACAACCTCTTCTTGAACACTTACAGCAGGCAAGGATATAAATACGCAATTACATCTATAATTTTATTACTACAATAGACCTATTGTACAGATGAGAAAACTGAGATCCAGAGAAGTAAACTGTCTGAGGTCACAGAGCTGAGTCTGGATCTGAAACCAGGTCTGACCATCACTCTATCCCAGGAGGGTGGCCTCTAAGGCCAGCCCAGCAAGTTCCACAAAGGGGTACTGGGATGGGAGTTGGGGACACCAGGTGCCAGGTCCTGCGCCCTGGGGTTGCTCAGCCCTGGACAAACGGATACATACAAAATAAAGCCCAGGATGGAATGGGACTAGGCTTGTCCACTGCAAGGCAGAGAGGTCTGGTTAAGCAACTTACATCCCACCCCCAGCCTGGACTATCCCATAGACATTAAATGTAAGATCTGTCCAGACCCTGTGGCCACATAGGAACTAGCTCCCAACAAAGCAAACAGGAGAAAGTGGGACCCAAAACTGCCCAGACACTGTGATTACAGGGAGGCAAAAATAAAAACCTGAGTCAGAAAAAGCAAACTGCAGAGAGCCACGCCTGCAGGGAGGCTAGGAGTGCTGGGGGTGGCGGCTGGGGCTGATCTGGTTTTTTGTCTTTGTTTCTCTGATTTTCAAATCCTCTGTTATGCAGCTCAGTTGCTTTCATAATGAAAACAATAAATTCTTAAGAGAGAAAGAAAATGGTTAGTAGCCCAAGGGGGGTCAGGGGAGAAGGCACAGAGGAGCAAGAGGAGGTCAAGGTCAGCTGATGGTGGGCATTCAATCCACCAGTGAAAGCCAGGGCCTGTGCACAGCTTCTCCCCTCATCTCAAGGCAGGTGTGACCTGAGACTAGGGGGTGTCAAGAAAGGCTGCCTGGAAGAGGTGACATCCAACCTGTATTTTGAAGGTGGTTAGAATTCCCAAGAGTGGGGAAAAGAAAGGCTCTCCACCACTTCCTCTGCCTCAGTCCGGGTCCCCCTCATCTCTGGCCTCAGCCTCTTTCCCAAGTTTCCCCAGTTCCCCTCTCACTCACCATTCCATTCTCCTACTACAATCACTGAGATCTTTCTAAAATGTGAATCAGATCATGACTCTCCCCTGATTAGAACCTTCTGTGACTCCCTACTTCCCCACAGAAAAAGTCTGAATTCCTTAGAACTTCCATGTTTGGTCCCTGCTGACCTCCTGGGCCTCACTGGTTGCTCCCACCTCACACTGTGCCTGGCCAAACCAGAAGTCTCCCACTTCCCCAAATGCTCCACCTCCCTTCTCACTTCCTCACCTTCAATCATGCTGCCTTCTCGGCCTGGGCCCTCTGGCCTCCTCCATTTGCCTGGTTAACTCCAACTTATCCCTAGGGCCTCAGCTTACAGGCTCCTGAGAGCCTTCCGGGATTGGTCCCCCTCCACCCCCTGGACTATGTTGGGTGTCTCTCCTGTCTGCTCCCTTTGTGCCACGCATTTCCACCATCACTGTTTTCACATCTGTCTCCCTACTGAACATGAGTTTTGTCAGGGTAGTGCCATGACTGTGTCATTCACACAGCCACCACCAGTTACTGTCAAGTCAATCCCGATTCATGGAGACCCCGTGTGTGTCAGAGTACAACTGTGCTCCATAGGGTTTCTAATGCCTGATATTTAGGAAGTAGATCACCTGGCCTTTCTTCCAAGGTGCCTCTGGGCGGTCTCAAAGACAAACCTTTTAGTTAGCAGCCAAGCACTCAATCAACAGTACTATCCAGGGTCCCCTGCCCCACACAGTGCCTGATTAATGTTTGAATCAATGACTGCTCTAGGTGGAGGGAACTGAAAGTGCCGTGGTATGGATGGAGGAAAGCCCCCTCCCCTTCCTGAGTCTCTTCCGCCCACTCCTTGTACAATGTTGCCCCCTGCATCACACAGTTACCCGTTTCCTGTATCTAAGCTTTCTCTTCCTAAGTGATCTGAGCAGAAACTGTTGTTGGTAAAGACTAGCAAACCCAAAATGTATGTTAACAGTTAAAAAACACAGAAAATGGTGCGGCTTCCCTTGGCAGTGTAAACTAAGTGAGTTTCACCTGTTAAAATGGCCCAAGAGGTCAGCTGGGGCCGAAAAGAAATAAGAAATTGATAATACCCAGTGCTGGTGAGGTTATGGTGAAATGGGCTCTCCCATGTATTAACTGGTGGGAGTGTAAAATGGAGCAATCATTTCTGAAAGCAATCTGGCAATATGTGCTCTAAAAATTTTCAGACCTTCTGGCCTAGTGATCCCATTCTTGGTCATCTATCCTTAGGAAATAACCCTAATACAGAAAAAGCTTTATGCACTGTTTGTTTCAGTGGTTTTTTACAATAGCAAAAACGTAGAACAGGCACAATTTTAAACAAGAGGATGGCGCTGTAAACCCTATTACTGAGTATCAAATGGTTAATAATACTCAATGTTTACCTATATGGTAATGACTCATTTAATACTCTTATCAATCCTACAAGGAACTGAGGCACAGAGATACTGCATAACTTGCCCTGAGTCAAGCAGTAAGGGTAGAACTTGAACCCAGTCAGGCTCCAGAACCTGTGTTTTTTACCCTGGCACCAGCTAGATCAATTAAAAAGAAATATAAATCACCCTGCAGTCGTTTAGAAAATATTTCTGATACAATAATCAGGAGGAAAAGGCAAGACAAAAGTTTTATGTACAGACAGAACAAGGATGTTCTTGTCATCAAGCTGATTCAGACTCATGGTGACCATGGTGTTCCATAGGGTTTTCTTGTCTATAATCTTAATGAAAGCAGATTGCCAGGGCTTTTCTTCCACAGCACTGCTGTGTCAGTTTAAACGGCCAACCTTTAGGCGGTGAACAGTGGAGCACAAATCATTCACACCACTTAGAGACTTTCACTCACAGATTCTGACACATAGCAACCCCCACTGCGATTCCAAGGCTATAAATCTTTATGGAAGCCAACTGCCCCATCTTTCTTCTGTGATGTGGCTGGTGGGTTCGAACCACCAACCTTTTGGTTAGCAGCCAAATGCTTTAACCATTACACCGCAAGAGCTCCTTCCTAAGGACCTTGAAGCAATGATATTTATATAAAAACTGGGTACTGTGAGGACAATGTAACGGAATACCAAAATGCTAATGGTGGTGTTTCAGGTTTGGGGGTATTGTGTATTTCATTTTGCTATTCTCTAATTTTTTTAAAGGGTGATTAGGTGACTTTTTTAAGGAATATTTTTAATAAAATTAAAGGTTCAGCAAACTCTGACCTAACAAGTCACTGCTCCAAGCTCCCCACCTTTCCACTCCACCCCTAGCATCATGGGTTTTGCCTTAGGCTCTGAATTTTTGTCCAGAAGGAGACAGGGGCTCAGAAGGCTAAGGGGCTTAATCAAAGGGCCACAGCAAGCCTCTCGCCCCACCCTAGACTGAACCTGAGTAGAGTTAGGAAGGCACAGCATGTAGAGGGTTCAACTAGTTGGCAACACCGGAAACAACCAGGCCAGGGAAAAGTCTGACCAGGTCACTTATTCTCCTGCTTAAAATCCCTCTTGGACTCCCTTCATTCTCAGGGTGCAGTTCAAACTCCCCACCCTGGTACTCAGGGACCTTTGGCCAAGGGAGCCCTGCCAGCCACATTCATTTCAGCAAGTATGTCCCCAGAGCACCCCTCATTCCAGCCCCACTATGCCACCTGCAGCTCTCCCATGCCACCATGACTTACACAGGCTGTGGCCACCAAGGCCACATAGCCCAGCTGGACCCCTGCCAGGTTCTCATTAACAGCATGACTCAGCTCAGGTGTCACCACCTTGGGGAACCTTCCTGACCACCACCCCCTCCAAGGCTATGTTTGAAGCAGCTCCTCTAAGCACCTATGGATCCCACTATCCTAGCTTTGCTTGGCTACCTGTCTGTGCAGTGCTCCAAGCTACGAGCTCCCTAAGAGCAGGGCCTGGGTCTAGTTTTTGGGTACACACCTACATCCCCACTTGACCCCATGGCTCACACGGCTCTTCCACCAGGTCATAGCTTAAAGGTCACTTTCAATTGGAACTAGGCCTCCCTATTATCTGCTCCCACAATTCTCTGCATTTTCCCCACCCCACCTTTGATTAAGTCACTGCCATCGAGTCGTCGATTCCGACTCACAGCAACCCCCTTTAGGTTTCCAAGATGGTAAATTTTTCTGGAAGTAGCTTTCCCCATCTTCCCTCTGAGGCACCATGCCACCAGAGCTCCTTACCTTTGTGTTATGCCTCCAAATATCCCCTCCAGGCCCATCTCCCAGTGAGCCGTGACCCACAAGAACAGGGTCTCCACTGCAGCCCAGAGCCAAGTGCAGGCCACAGAGTAGGTGCTCAAGTGCTTAGTCCATACTAACCAATGCCACGGAGTCAATTCTGACTCATAGCAACGCCCCCAGGGCTTCCAAGGCTGTAAATCTTCACGGAAGCACACTTCTTTTTCCCACAGAGCAGCTAGTGGG